TTATTTTTAAAGAAAAATGTAATATCTCTGCATTTAAGGTTAAATACTTGAATAGTTACTGAAAAAATGTAATACTTATAATATCTAAATTATTTGATGATTATTGTAGAAAAATATAATACTTATCAAATACATTCTTTCCAAAATGTTGAACCTCAATCCTAAGCGCCCCCACACCCCGGCCCAACAGAACATCTGGGAGGATGTAAATCATGGTAACTCAACTGAGCATGAACCACAGAGGCTAGACCTTTGCTGACTGCGCACAAGGAGCCCCTCATTTTGAGAGGTTGTTCCCTGGTGAGACTCGATCCCTGGTCATTCTTTACAAACTTCACCTCTATTATCAGTTGAGCTGTCCATGCGGGTATACTTATCAAATACATGATTTGTGAGATGGTCTCATAAGTCATAAGAGAATGTGTCTTACCTGTTATGGGGCTGGTACCCAGCATCATGGCTTCGTCATCACACCCGATGACAGTTAAACTGTTTTGGGCTGAGAAAGTGTACGGGGTTGAAATTCCGAGTCCGAGGTTGATCCACGCCGGATTTTCCCAGAACAGGCCCCCTGTCTGGTTGTAACATTTGAAACCTAGAACGTTGGATATCCGAACTTGGGTGTCGGAGATTTCGTAGACTTGGATGTTCCATATCAAAGGCTTCGGAGGGTTGTATGATGTATTGCAGTTGATCTCGAAGCTCGGGTTGAGAGCACACCCCGATCCTAGGCCGATTCCAAACGGGTAAGGAACAATAAGGTTTCCGCAACTCCGGGACATCCCGGCTTCGTGATGTTGGCGCCTTTGGTAATGGTGGTTGTTTTGTTAGGGTTTAGGGTTTGGGCTATGGCTGATGAATGCACTAATAGGATAGAGAAGAGATGGGTAACTTGGAAAAAAGCAGATAAGCTAATTGGCTGCTGCATGGTTGTGGATACTTTGATACTGCATGCAGTTTTGTTGCGTTTATTACCATATATATATTAGTCACGCCCTATGATTTTTGATATGATTTCCATGTTAATTTGACTTTAATTTCATGGGTCTCTTTCACATGAAATATGTCGCATTTCTAGTTGCTATAAAATAAGAAAGAATAACGACATTTTAACTAATTTGTTTTTATTAAATCTTATATAAAATATTTGATCTCATATTCATGATCCCGGGCAGGTAAAAATCTTGGGAGGCCAGGGGTTGAATAGAAAGTTAGGATGGAGGCGGGGAGGACTGAGTCTAATGTCTTATTATTAAAATGTGGCGCTAATTCTTATACAAGTATATATAAAGAAATAAACTTGTGCTTTCACTAGTAACTATAGTTTTTGGCGTTATGAGAAGTACATGATCTCGACAATTGGTATTAAAGCATGTCTTTTGTATAAGCAGATAAAGTTTCGGCTCTGCTACTTGTTGGAAAATTAGCAATTTGGCATGTAGAATGACTAATTTCAGGCAAAGTTTTGAGTGAGTTTCATTTTTGATTTGGGTCGGGTCAAAATGGTTTCAGGTTCTCATAAGTGTGAGGTTTAATTCGAAACATTATAAACTCAAAATAGATAATTGATGAATGAGAAATTGATTTCAAAGTATACTCGTTTGAGTTAAAATGTAGTATATGTACTTTCTCGTTCTTTTTCAGCCCAAAAAATTAATGTCCTAACCACGGGAGTTCAATTCTGTGACCACCTATTTGAGATGGTAACGAAGGTGTTATCACACACATAACATTATATATATTTCAATTAAAAGTGATATTCTATTTAAATTTATAATACATACTACTTTTGTGGCAACCAATTCGATTTTTCTTTTCAATTGCAGTACATCAATTTATGTAAGAAATATATATATATATATATATATATATATATATATATATATATATATATATATATATATATACACACACACACACACACACACACACACACACACACACACACACACACACACACACACGTTGATATGTCCAGATCAACGGCTCTTTAAAAAAGTACGCTTCTAATCTACTGTATTTGCATTCAATTCAAATCTTAGAAAACTCAACAATGTGCACTAGAAGACACAAGATGTTTATTAATCTTCACGGGATTATTGAACCTGTTTCCTTTCTTCTTTCACGGGACCTAGCAACGGTCTATTGAGCCGGTAAGCCTGTTAAACCTATTGAACCAACCTATTAAAAATATGCACTAGAAGGCACAACAATATGCACTACTAGGGAGAACAATGTGCACTACAAGGCACAACAATTTGCACTCGACGGCAAAACCTAAGGTACCTAAAGATAAAAAATATGCACTTACCTATCAAAATTATCAAATTGGCACTGCGTTTTAAAAAAAATTTCATTCAATTTATTGGGGACTCCTTCGCATCTGATATGTTATATATATATATATATATATATATATATATATATATATATATATATATATATATATATATATATATACACAGAGAGGGGGGGGGGGGGGTTATAAGACAATGTATTTAATTTAGATTTTTAATAATTTTATAAATTTTTTAAAATAAAAAAATATATAAAAGTCATTAAATGTTTATAAGTACATATTGTAAAATAAAACTTTATATACTGCTACAAAATCTAATAAATAATTTTGAAGAGATTCTGTATGAATCTTTTAATAAAAAAAAAATTATATATTTTTAAAAAGTCTATGTTACACTAAGACTTGGTCACCAAAAAGATAATTAAAGGGATTGGAGTAGATGTTTCATATCAGCCGACCTCCATTTCTTTTTTGTTCATGTTCTTTTTTTTTTTTTTTTTTGAAAAGTTCTTGTGTTCATGTTTGGTTTGTTACTTGAATGTTATAATTCATAGGTGCGTATGCATGACATTAATTACCAGACTTGTATTTAAGTTGTACTATAAATAAAGCAAGCAACCGCTATTTGAAGATATGTAAAATCCACATTATAATCCTAGCTGATAAAAGACCATAAGAAGGTAATTAATCGAAATGTAATTCATAGTTGATCAATTCAAACTAAGACAATCAATAAACAATTTTCATTTAGGGTTCATTTGGAAACCCGTAAAATGACTTCTGAAAAATGTTTTCTGGTGAGTCATTTTCCAGAAAACATTTTCCTATCCGGTATTTGGCTACACAACGAAAAATTAACTTTGTGTGTTTGGTTCATTTTCCAGAAAATGAGAGGAAAATGAAAAGAATCGAATACTTCAAAATTTTAATTATTTAATATTTTTAATAAAATTCTTCTGTGAATAGCACTCTTTATATATATATATATATATATATATATATATATATATATATATATATATATATATATATATATATATTAACATTTTAAAAAATTAACGTAAAAAAATTAAATACAAAAAATTAATATTATTTGTAGACTTTAGTTATTTTTTTAAATTTTGATTTTTTTTTTTAAAAGAAAAAGCCCGCAGACCGGCCCATGAGGCCCGTCAACCCGTGTGGGGCGGGCTATGGTTGCATGAAACCTAACTTGCGGGTTTAGTGGGCCGACTCGTAAAAGCTCAGAAAAAATTAGACCCGAAAAAGTTTGCATGCGCATCCCTTGAAAAATAACTTCACCCTAAAAAAATAGAAGTCATTTTTCCCCAAAACATACATATTTTCCTTTGACTAAGACATTATTTTTCATTGACCTCATTTTCTCCAATCTTGCCAAACACTGAAAACTCGAAAAATATTTTCCAGAAGTCATTTTCCGAGTTTCCAAACGCACCCTTAATCAAATATAGAATGTTGTGATTATCAAATCAACTATCTAATTAATGAGTCTCCTTGAATTACGTTTTACTGATTCATATGTTTGTTTTTTTTGAAAACTATTCATATGTTATTTGTATACCTATAACTACATTATTATTCCATCTCTTTCAGCTGTGTATTCAAAACAATATCTAGTCAAAGTCAACTACCTAATACTCCGTAATTTTTTTTTTTTTGAATGCCAATACTCCGTAATACTCTATTACTCTTGTGTTTTTATGGCAAGTCAATAGGTATAAACTGATTCAACGATGCAGATACAATCACATCGCCACACCTAATGACATGACCACATATGAGCGCTTTTATATATATATATATATATATATATATATATATATATATATATATATATATATATGGAAGGGTTCAGGTGCGGTTGATACTTCCGGTGTGGTTGTGCAGTTGGACGCACCTTAAGCATTAATATGGCACACTTTAAGTACACAAATCACCACGCACCTTAAGCACCCAAACAAAGCACCTTAAGAACACAAATCACTCACCTTAAATACAAAAACCACGCACCTTAAGCACAGACAAAGCACATGAAGCACAAGACCCGCGCACTTAAAATTTTAAAATGTCTCACATTAAGCACAAATTGACGCACAAAACTCACGCACCTTAAGTTTTAGCAACCACTCACATTAAGCACAAAACCCACGCACCTCACATTAAGCACAAATCTCACGCACCTTAAATACAAGACCCACGCATTTTAAGTTTTAACAACTACATACTCACATTAAACACAAACCCCACGCACCTTAAGCACAAAACTCAAGCACGTTATGCACAAGACTCGCGCACCTTATATACAAAACTCACGCACCTTAATCACAAAACCACTCACCTTAATTTTGATCTAGATGCAAAAATTACCAAATTATCACTGCATTTTTTTTTTAATTTTTTAAATTTTTATAATCATGAACATTGATTTAAGCCGAATCAATGGCTATGTTTTAACCGCACAACCGCACCCCTCTCTCTCTCTCTCTCTCTCTCTCTCTATATATATATATATATATATATATATATATATATATATATATATATGATTTATAGGTATAACGAGGCAGTGCAGATTGTAGTAGTAGGCGTTAACTATATTAATAAGTTATTTATTTGGATGTAGTTACAATTTAATTACAACCTAATTCTTTTTTTTTTGAAGGTCAATCTTGCGATTGTATTAATGAATCAAAGTCGAAATAGTGTCAGGTGGGATAGCATCCCAATACATAGCTTGATCCTGAGTAAATGCTAACGTAGCTAAAGCATGTGCATGTAAATTAACTTGCCTAGAAATATAATCCAAAGTAATACGATTAAAAAACGACATAAACGTCCTGCACTGGTCAACTGTGACCCCAACGTACGAATGTATCGGCGTGTGATGGTGCCTGAATATCGCTGCCAATTCCATGCAATCCGTGAGTAAACTTACTGATGTGGTGTCCCGTTCAAGTAGCCAGGACAAAGCCTCCTTGTATGCCTGAGCCTCCGCCATAAGTGGTGAAAAACAAACTGGTAATTTGCCATTCCTTGCTGCCACAAACGAGCCATCTGGCGCTATAATTACCATGCCGTAAGTAGCCTCGCCCGTGTCGTGCCGGAAACCCGCGTCCACATAACATCGTAGACCACCCCCTCCTGGACCATTCACGTGGTCCGTCGCCGGTGTCGGGTTGGTTCGGCCAACATGAGCAGTGCCGTACGCCTGTAGTGCCACGGTGGCTGCTTTGACCAACTGGGTAGGCCGCATCATTGATCCCTTCCAGACAGCTGAATTCCGGGTTCTCCAAATATAATATAATACTGCTACCATTAACCGGATCTGCTCCTCCGTCAAGACTGTCATAACCCCTTTGAGCCATGTTGTAAACGAGTCTGCAACAATATTAATAATAGGTAACACAGAGCACTAAAGCATGCAACACATCTTCATGATCTAAACCACACATAGGGCAAGTTGGGTCCACCTCCACCCTTTTAAATATCAAGTTAAGGGTTGTTGGCAAAATATCACATATGGCTCTCCACAAAAAAGTTTTCCATTTCGGGGGTACTTTTATTTTCCACATTGCGATCCACTTATCAAAATTCGCTGGATTATTCTCATAATCTCCCACAATATGCCTGTAGGCATTCTTTACTGTATATGTCCCCTTTGGGTCACTCATCCAATACCATGAATCCTCATACTCAGGACTAACAGGGATCATATTTATTCGCTCCACATCTTCAGGAATAAATAAATCAGACAGAATATGCGGATCCCAGGTATGAGTCTGTGAATCAATTAGTCCTGCAACTCGCGCCTCTCTCAATTGTTGTGGCATTTCTGTTTGAATCAATGGGCTAGGATTATCTCGTAACCACGGGTGTCCCCATATTAGGGTTGTCTGTCCATTCCCAATCCTCCTTCGCACCCCTGAGACTACCATTGCATGGGCCGCCATTATACTTCTCCAACAATAACTCGGGCAATTACCAATAGTTGCATCTGTAAAACTGGTTGTGGGATAATACCTTGCCTTATAGATTTTGGCTACGAGTGTTTCCGGGTCTGTTAAAAATAGCCATGCCTGTTTACCTAGCATTGCTATATTAAAAGCCCTCAGCTCTTTAAAACCCATACAACCTAATTCAATTTCACCGAATTACAATTTTTCATTTTGTTAAATTTCAATTTATACACTCCCATATTGGGCGCAAACTTTCCCTGTACGCACGGATGGTACGTCTTCTTGTGCAAAATGAGGACCCCACAAAGAAACCTTAATTTGTAGGAACCACAACCCCTCCCCCTCCCAAAAAAAAACATACAAACAAACAATTTTCCAATTTGTTAAAAATCCCTCTCTGATTTTCCAATTCTTGTTGTATAATTAGATCATACAAAATGGGATAATAAAGGAATAGCCTTTGAGAACCATACATGATGAGCCGATGAACTCTAATTTGTGCACCATTACTCTAAGGCACTTTGATTATATGGATAGATGTTCCGAAAAGATCAGAGAAGAAGGTAAAGATCAGAATATTTTGACCATCCAGGAAGCTGCCTCCCTAGCTATGGCAGACCAATTCCATTGACAGAGAAGAAGAGATTCTTTGACTGTATTTTTTGTCCCAATTCAAAACTCCTTCAATTCTAATCTATGAGACAAAACAAAACCTCCAGTTTATGATTAGATACACGTGGTAATCTTTCTATCAATCCAAACACAACCGAAAATATATATATATAGAAAAGCAACCAAAAATGATAACATTTTATTAATCATAGGTGTTACAACATTTGACATGGGAATTGAAAATAGTTTGAAGCCTAGCATGCATGCATGCATGTCTGTTAATTAAGCATAGTAAAGCTCTTTTTACGCAAAGTTGTAAATAAGGCATCACTTTTGGCTACTAATATTCAAAGGAGATGTCATGTTGGAACTGTTGGAGGTATATTGTCCAGAATACTCACTAGTGAACGTAGAAGAATTCAACTGGACTGTATAAAGGTCTGACGACGATCCATCCTGACCATTCATTTCACCACCAAATGCCTCATGCAAGACTTGTTGTCCATTATTATTCCATGCTTGTCTATTAAGCTTCCTCAACCCTTCGAGTTCCATGGCCACTTCCTTCATTGTAGGTCGATCTTCACCATTCAAGTGGAGGCATCTCTTTGCAAGCTCGGCAACCTTTTGAATTTGCTCCAAGGCCGCTTCCCTTAAAACCCGACGATCCAAAATCTTGAACAATTGATTCTTGTTCATGGAGGTTACCAAATATGATGCCAAATTCACATCATCCTCATTTCTTTCTCTAGATATTGGTTTCATCCCAGTCAAGAGTTCACTAAGAACTACTCCAAAGCTGTAGACATCACTTTTCTCAGTCAATTGACTGGTTCTAAAGTATTCAGGATCCAAATATCCAAATGTTCCTTGAACTAAGGTAGCTAGGTGAGTTTGATCCAAAGGGATTAGTCTCGAAGCACCAAAATCTGCTACCTTTGCGGTGTAATGATCGTCTAGTAATATATTGGCAGACTTTACATCTCGATGTATTATAGGCATCCATGCTGAGGAATGGAGATAAGCAAGTGCACTAGCTGTTTCTGTAGCTATTCTTAAACGATTTTCCCATGATAGCCAACTCGACCCGCCTTGGTTGAGGATGTGCTCGGAGAGTGTTCCATGAGAGACATACTCATAGACCAACAAAGGAACTTTTGCTTCTAAACAACAACCTAAGAGTTTCACCACATTTCGATGGTTGACTTGAGTGAGGACGACAACCTCATTGATGAAATCTTCTATTTTGGTATCATCCACGTTCTTGGCTTTTTTTATGGCAACTATGCGTTTATCTGGAAGGATGCCTTTGTAAACAATGCCATTTCCTCCTCGACCAAGTTCTCGGTCACTCGCGTAGTTATTGGTAGCTTTCTCCAGCTCCTCGGCTGTGAAGATTTTGGTTGCTTCTACACCACCTTCAGTCGTAGTGACTCGTTGTTTTAAGATTAGACCCCCATTTTGTTGGAAGAATTTCTCCCGAAGTTTAATGAGTTTTCTTTTCTTAAAAAAGAAATACAGCCATGTTACTCCAATGACCAATGACAAAAAGCCAGCTCCCAGTCCTGCACTTTGTATGATTTTATTACCAAATAAAATTGATGTCCTTGGACTTCGTCTTTACAGTGGTGTCACCTTGACACCCCTACTTGTCTAGCTAGCATTTTATTGAAGATAACCGTTGACTTTTCAAACATGTTTTCCATTTAATTATAGTCCTATAGTAGGCTATTCAAACATTTGCCAATTTATTATCTAGGCCTATACTAGCTCACATGCTTAACAACATTGTTATGATGTAATTAAATGTACGGTGTGACTCAATTTTTCCTAATCATAAGTTATGTTTCTTTACAAATATTAGATGTTGATGGATATTAGTTAAAAAAAAATGTTTAATAATGCAGCTTGATCTATGAATATTTATATATTATCAATGTATTCAGGGACGGAGCCAGAAATTCGGTTGAGAGGGGCGAAGAAGTAGGGAAGGATTCAGAAATTTTTTGCAGTAAAGACGAAACATTAAAATAAAAGAGATAATTTAAAAAAAACACTTATATATATATATATATATATATATATATATATATATATATATATATATATATACACATATACATATGTGTGTGTGTATTAAATATTAAACAGCTATTGAAAACGTGACTGTGTTGAAATCATAGGGAATGAGTCCAAAAAACTGTTGAAGCCAACTAAAAAAAAAAAAACTATGTCAATGGCAAGATTAAAACCCCTATCCTTTAGCAAAAATCAATATGTACTCAACCAACTCATCTAAATCAACCTTTGTTGATATTTAATAGTTTTATTTTACTAATACTAACACATATACTATATATACATATATACATACAAAAATTATATATAGAGTGGAGTGGGGTGAGGGGGGCAGCTGACCCTGCCTCTTTGGCTCCGTCCCTGAATGTATTAATTGCAATCACATCATTGAATATAAGTTATTAAGATAAATTGTTACGAAGTACTTACCCACAGAAAACTTGATCCAGGGAAACTCTGAATTATTATTAGGGGCAATGCATCCACTTCCATTTTTCTTCCCATCACCACGGTACCCATCTGGACAAGAACATTTATGGCTCCCTGCCGTGTTTGTGCATATCTTCTCACAATTATTCTTATTTGGATCTGCACACTCATCAATATCTGCAACACAATAAAAACAAAAACATCCAATTACAATAAAAACAAAAACATCCAATTACTAAACCAATCGGTATCAAAGTCAAGTCATGATCGAGTTCCACTCCCAAACTACATAAAAACAGTGCAATTAAGGCTGACAAGTACTTGGGGAATTGTTGTGTGGAAGCCAGAATGGCCAAGTCCAGCACCGGGTGGTTAGGAATTGTTGGGCCGAGGCCCTTAAGAGATAAATCTAGACATCTAGCACTACTTATGGAAAATGTGACAGGTATAAGAAAATAAAGTTACGCATGCTTTCCTTATATATACCTTGGCAGCTATGACTAAGATAAGGATTGCCTTCATAACCTTCATTACAGCTGCAAAGGTACCCTCCAGAATCATTATCGGCATCAACGCAGTGACTATTTTCCTTGCATGCATAGTCGTGGCTCTTTCGTGCGTCGTCACAGGTAAGATTACCGATAGCCCAGTCAAGAAGGATAGGAACACTATCCAAAGTCCGTCGCGTAAAGTTGAGATCTCTAAGGTCACTCACTCCTCGGAAATTAAACCGACCCGCCTCGCCTAGGAAAGCGTAGCCGCAGGGAGCATAGGACCAGACATTAGTATGGTTGTCGATGCTGATCCAAGTGCTTATGTTAAAAGACTTCAACCCTTTCGGAATTGGAATCTGACAGCACCCAGACGCGCCTAAACAGTACCCGGCCCGCGCGTCCTCCGGTTTGGTGCACACGACCGGGCAGCCGTTGGCGAAGGTTTTACCGGTTAAGCTGTTTTTACCGGACAAGATGGCGCCGTCGTCGCAGCCGACGACGGTGAACCTGTTTTGCGGCGAGAAGGTGTATGGGCTTGAAGTTCCGAGGTTGACCCACGTCGTGAACTCCTGGCGCACGCCACCTGTGGGGGTGTAACATTTGAAAGCAAGAACGTTGGAGATCCAAACATGGGCGTCGGAGATGTCGTAGACTTGGGTGTTCGATATCAGAGGCTTCGGAGGATCGTAGGATTTGTTGCAGTTGATCTCGAAGCTGGGGTTAATGGCGCAACCCGATCCTAGGCCGACTCCGAACGGGTACGGAACGGTTAGGTTCCCGCATTTACGCGGGCATCCCGGTTTAGTTATGGTGGCGCCTTTGGTGATGGTGGTTGTGGTGGCGTTGGTGGCGGTTGCGGTGGCGTTAGTGGTTGGGGTTTGGGCTATGGCGAACGAAAGCACTAAAAGGATAAAGGAGAGAGAGAAGAGTTGAAGAAAAACAGCAAAGTTAATTGGCTGCATGGTTGTGGATAAAAGATTAGGCAATGCTATTGTCTATATATATTGGGATAAAGTACACCCACTGAACTATTTGGAAAAAAGCAATCAAGCTATGGAACTCAAATAATCTTCAAATAATTCATTAAACTCAAAAAAAAAAAAGTAATAAACATTTTTAACAGGTTAACTTTAAGTTTTTGGTGATTGAATTACCAAATATTTATTTTATTTAAGGTTTTTTTTTTTAATATTATAATCTACCAACATAGTAATATATTTTAAAGTAATTATAATTAAAGTAGTTTTGTCTTATCTAGATCTAATTTATTTATTTATTATTATTTTTTTAAACAAAAGATTCAGTAATTAGATAATATTACTTTACTTTAAAATCCCGACAAAACAAAACTATTTTGATTATAATTACTTTAAAATATAA